CTTAAAATATTGTGTATTCTGATGTGTGGGGGCCTACTACTATAACTTCGGAGGGCAGGTATAAGTACTTTATCACATTGATTTATGATTTCTCCCGTTATACATGGGTATTTCCCACGCATAGTAGAGACGAAGTTCCAAAGGTTGTGTGAGATTTCYAGAGGATGGTGTTCACACAATTTCATGTTGAAATTCAAATTTTTCAATCAGATAATGCAAAGGAGTATTTCCATGGTGAGACAATGAGTACTTTGCTTCCCATGGATCAATTCATAGGAGCTCATGTGCAAGAACACCACAACAATATGGTGTTGCAGAGAGAAAGAACAGACACCTCCTTGGTATTGATCATGGATATGCTATACTAAAGTGCCATGCTTGTTTTGCTAGTAGGGACTGGTGTATTAGTTGAAAAGTAGAAGAATGTTTTTTTTTTTAATTTTGCAGTACCAATCAGTAGGTTTTTATTAAGCAAGTAGATAACTTTTTGCTGCTTTCACTATGATCACATGAGGAATGCAATTCTCCAAGGAGTTACAAGATTGGAAATTCCACAACTCATGTTTTACCAGTAAATTTGGTCATTGGGCATTTGGTTTTGTGGAGGAATATTTGGAAAGGATAATCCAAGTTTCTTTGATAACACTGCACATCCATTGGAGAGCCTGACTTCTCTTGACTTATCAAATAGATGCATTCACATTTGTTTAATAAGGTGAGAGATGGTGCCTTCTTTGAGCAGATGATGCACTCCTTTTGATTTGTTATTATTGTTATTGTTGTTGCCTACACAAAGTGGCATTTTTCTGCCACACAGAAAGTAGGATGTTTCATAAACTGTAATAAAGTTAGCAACAGGGGCTGTGCTAGAAAAATTAGTATGGGGTCCCTAAAATGGAAGATAAAAGCTAATGATGTTAAGGGATGGTAGGGAGATAAAAGTTGGACCCAGTAGGTTTAGAAGGCTGGTTTAATAGGGAAAAGGATATATTAAGGGTCTGGATAACTGGATAAGGACAGAGAAATATGTAAAACATGTAGTAAGATTTGGTCTTAAACAATTTATCAAAGAAAAAGGTGTTTTCTTTGTTTATTTTACTAAGCCATTGACATGATTAACTACTCTTATAATTTGATGTACTTTATAGGTCTTGACTGTTTTAAATGATTAAAATAATAAGGTGTTTTCTGCTAACCCTTGGTTTTGTTTCTAATCTTAGATATTTCTCTTTTTTTTTTTTTACTGCTTCCTTTATTGTGAATCTTTGGAAAAAAAAATGAAGAAATCACGATTATGCTAAGAACATCTCCAGTGCCATGTTTTATTTTTTGCCTTTTTTTTTCTATTGTGAATCATTTGCCTTGAATATGTTCATGGAACCCTATTTTGCTATTAAACCTTACTGCTGCCATCCTATTTATCCAGAAATTATGAGACTTTAAATTAAGAACTGCAAAATTTTCAAGAAGTCAATTAAGACCAATTATAAATGGAATTTCATCCAAGACCAACTTATCAATCAGCAGAAGGCTTCATACAGATAATGACTACTATAAAAATGAAATGGTTATTGGATGGTTCTATTCTCATACCAGATCTGAAAATTGAAGGACCCCTACCTATCATACATCAGTATATATATCTTACAAGTTACAACCTTAAAACAAATATAAATCTTACAAGTTAAAAGCTGAAATGATTACCTTCTTTATTGCTTTTTTTTTAAGTTAAAAGCTGAAATAATTTGATGTCTTTAAGACTTCAACTCAGTCAACTGTTAAGTTTCAAAAGCTAATTTATATGTATTAGTGATCAAATATATATCACTTATTGAGAAAATGAAAACATTGAGTTATGAACAATGCAGTGAAGGTTTTGATTGATGAACTATGAAATTTGGAATTTCCCTCCAACATCTGCTGTAAGTGGAAGCAACTAAAACCCCTAGTGTATTTTGAATGCATTTACGTAAACCATAATTGATGTTTCTCCATCCACCTATTGTGATCAATCATGATTACCAACTTTTACAAATTCTTATCAACTCGATGCGCTAGAATGCAGTATAGAACAAATTCCTAAACTAAGCCTAAGCCTAAGAATAACTGAGAATGACTGGTTACATACATATAGATTTTTGAGTGGAAAGTTAATTCGTCTTAATGTGATCCACCCATGTCAGTGAAGCTTCTATGAATCCAGCTAGTACTAAATTCAGTCACTCCTCAAATGTTCATGTTTTGTTACTAAGTGTAGTTGAACCATATAGAAAAGACACCCTTTTGAATCTGAAGTATGAATTTTTGTGATGTCTATTTGAATCTGAAGTATGAATTTTTGTGAAGATTCTGCATGAAACATCTGCGAAGTCAATTGTTGCTGAAGCAACTTCTAATTCAGAGAAAATACACGCCTCATTTGAAATACAGGCTCATGAGTTTGCTCAAGCAAAATCTGTGGCGACTGAGAAAGCACAAGTGGCAATGTGGATGGTGCAACATGGAAGAGTTCTTGATGCTTTAAGGAGTGGTTCAATTCCAGAAATCCAGGCATGCATGAAACTGGGAAGCATGCAAGAGGCTTTACCACTGACATCTGCCATTCTGGTTGCTGGTGTTCCATTGACTATTGTTCATGCGCCCGTACAAGCACAATGCCATGATTTAGACAGGGATGTTTCTCATGTATTAATTTGTATTAGAGAATTTGTATTCATTTGAAACTTAACATGTATTAATTTGTGATTCGAATGTATTAATTTTTTTGGTAGAAAAATACTTTGAATGGAAATAGACCTTTTAAATTGCATTTATATTGATTTTTGTACTTTTTTTATGTTAATTGGATATTGTGTTTAACCAATTTATTTTGGATATTATAATAATTAATAATTTAATTAAAAGTTTCTTATTTAAATTGATTTTTATGCATTATTTATCATGAGATTTGTATTAAATAGGTACCAAAAAAAGTAGAAATCAAATTGATATAAATAATAAAAAATAAAGAAAAACAAAGTCAACAGTCGTACAACTGCCGCCTTAGACATAAAAGAGATCTAAGCTAGCGATCAAGACCGCCACCTACAAATGGAAGCAATATTTCGACAGACCTAAGGCGGCGGTCCAAAGAGATCTAAGCCAGCGGTCCTAACCGCCACCTAAAAACAAAAGCAAGATTTTGACTGACCTAAGGCGGTGGTCTAAAGAGATCTAAGCCGGCGGTCCAGACTGCCACCTAAAAATGGAAGCAAGATTTCGATGGACTTAAGGCGGCGGTCTAAAGAGATCTAAGCTGGCGGTCTAGATCACCACCTAAAAACGGAAGCAATATTTCGACAGACCTAAGGCGGTGGTCCAAAGAGATCTAAGTCGGTGGTCCTAACTGCCACCTTTATTAACTCTGAGCCAGCGGTTATGACATACTGCCGATTTAGGAATGATTGAACCGTGTCGGACCGGTCCTCAAAGGCGGCGGTCTTAACCCAGGCTGGCAGTGGTTTAAGGGGCGAACTCATGATCACCACCTTACCTCTAAGGCGGCGGTCTTTTTTGTCTAAGCCGGCGGTCGGACTGCCGGTTTTGACCGTTTTTCTTGTAGCGAAAATACCAATGATTTAATTTTTATGGCTCATATGAAAACCAAGATAAGTATTAACTCATTAATTACATTAAAAGATTAAAATATTTAGACAATTGCTTTTGTAAGCATCAATAACCTTATATGATATGATGCTAATAAATTAAATACTATGATTTAGCTTTTATTGCTTAATTGGAAATCAAGTCAAGTATTAATTCATTATTAGATTTAAAGATTAAATCATTTGGATAATTGTTGTTTGTAAGTGTAAACATTATATTATATAGTATTATAAAATGTTGTGATTTAACCTTCGTGACCTACATGAAACTAAGGCATGTATGGATTCATTGTTTGGTATTAAAGGTTAAAATCTTTAGGTAATTGTTATATGTATTAACCTTACATATGATGCTAATAAAATACTGTTATTTTGTTTTTTATGACTTGCATATAAGGCTCAAAATATTGATATGATATGCCTCATATTAGGTGTATCATATCGTATTTAAGGTTGGGTTTACGAGATTTCAATTTTTTGTATGATAAAATATGATATTATTATTAGATGATTAATACGAAAATATAGTGCAAAAAAAAAGATAAAAAAGAAAGTTTTAGTTAAAACAAACTCTCCATACACAAATTTAATTTTGCAGAGTATCAATACTTTGAATCATGTTTCCATGGCAATCAAGACAAATATAAAAATATTTGGACAATTGCTATTCGTAAGTATTAGATTTATATGAAACTAGTGAAAGAGCAAGTGTGCGAAATAAAAGGACAAAAAAAAAAAAAAATCCCTTATAAGCAGGGATGTAATGTAAATTAAGTAACCACCAATGTCGCTCAGTCTCTCTCTCTCTCTCTCTTGTCCGCCAACGTCGCTCGTCCTTTATTCTTTTATTTCTCTCCCAGGTTTTACGTAACCACCAACAAATTCCTCTCCATTTCTCCTTTGTCTCATGATAACCCCTAGAAGAGAATGACGAAACCACCGAACATGTAATGTAAATCCCGTCCTAAATTTCTTCACTTGGCTCATTTTGCATACGTTAGTCTTGTGGAACAACGTTTGTAGATTGGGATGATCGAGGTTGTTTCTGAAATCTTTCCCCGTCTGGTATTGCTTTACTATCTCCGATTTTCATGCTTATTCTTGTTCTTGAAGTAGGTGGATTAGATTATCTACAAGTGCCTTTGTCATTATTTGTTTTAATCCTGATAGTGTTAGAGATTTCCTTCCAGAGAATATATGATTTAAGAGAAGAGAGATTTCAATTCACTGAAATCAAAATTTGGTTTTGACGATCAAAATCTAGTCGTAGCAAAGAGTATTTCATTTTGTGTTTTTGGTGCAAACCCAGAACAGAAGTAGTCCGTCGTGGAGTTGTATATATAATAAATTAGTAAGATGTCGGGAGGTTTGAATTCAATGCGAGGGATTCCACCAGGAATTCTGCTCTTAAGGAGCCTAAGAGGTAGGGATTGGAGCCTCACTACGTATAGATATGCGGTTTTGCTACTTACTTTTATAGCATATGCTTGCTACCATGCTTCTAGGAAACCAACCAGTATTGTGAAGAGTATCTTAGATCCAGAGCCTGTGAGGCATGTCGAACCCATAGATCCCTGGCCTCTCACAGAGTTTTTTATCAAGGAGAAGTTTGTGATATCTAACGTCTCAAAAGCACATAACAAGGGATGGGCCCCTTTCAATACTAAAGATGGAACTATCAAGTTGGGAGAGATTGATGTTGCATTTCTGGCTTGTTATTCCATGGGAATGTATGTGGCAGGTCACCTGGGAGACACACTCGACCTACGTCTCTTCTTAACAACGGGAATGATCGGGAGTGGAATTTTCGTTGGGTTGTTTGGTCTGGGTTACTTCTGGGATATCCACGCCTTCTGGTTTTATCTGTTGATGCAAATGATGGCCGGACTGTTTCAGGCTACTGGGTGGCCTTCTGTTGTGGCTGTTATCGGAAATTGGTTTGGGAAGAGAAAGAGGGGTTTGATAATGGGTGTTTGGAATGCTCATACATCCATTGGTAACATCACTGGATCCCTTCTTGCTGCTAGTGTTCTGCAGTATGGATGGGGCTGGTCGTTTATACTTCCTGGAGCTCTCATCTTTCTGGGAGGGATAATGATATTCTTGTTTCTGGCTGCATACCCAGAAGATGTTGGGATTCCTTGCCCATATGGACTGGACTCCAGTACTAAGCAGGTAGAGACAATAAGACCCAAGGATGAAGAAGCTCAAATACGGAAAGGGGGTGAAGGAGATGAGGAAATCCAACGTGCTGGGTCGATGAGTAGAGGTAGCGCAGTTGGGCTTGTTGAAGCTTGCTCCATACCTGGAGTGATACCATTTGCATTGTGTCTCTTCTTTTCCAAGCTTGTGGCCTACACATTCCTCTACTGGTTGCCTTTTTATCTCAGCCAAACTGCAATCGGAGGGGAGTATGTGTCTGTGAAGTCTGCCGGCAATCTTTCGACTCTTTTCGATGTTGGGGGAATTGTTGGAGGAATCCTTGCTGGCTATATTTCTGATAGACTTAATGCTCGGGCCATTACAGCGGCAAGCTTCATGTATGCTGCAATTCCTTCAATGCTTCTGTACCGCTTCTATGGGAGCAATTCTAAGTCAATGAACATCATATTGATGATGATCGCTGGGCTATTTGTGAATGGACCCTATGCACTGATCACTACTGCGGTTTCTGCAGATCTTGGGACACACAGCTCTCTAAAGGGGGATTCAAGAGCACTGGCAACGGTGACTGCCATTATTGATGGGACAGGATCAGCTGGTGCTGCACTTGGACCTCTTCTCACAGGGTTTATTTCAAAGAAGGGATGGAATGCGGTTTTCGTGATGCTCATTCTTGGGGCATTCATTGCTGGTCTTCTTCTGTCTCGCTTGGTCATAGCAGAAATTCGGGAAAAAGCTGGAAACAATTTAGGGCAGCAACTGGTTGAAGGACCTACAACTCAACCTCTGCTAAGGGATAGGAGGTGACATATATACATGGGACTACCGCCGGGGAATTGGGCCTTCGGAATCAATCAAGAGACCAAGAAACGATCGAAAGAGTAATTATTAGGAGTGTAAGACGGATCACAGATGCATGGAATTAATAATGCCAACACAAATCGTTTTCATTTCAACTTTGAAAGTTTGAATGCTTTATCTGTAATTACTCGTTTTGTGCCACTTGTACTCTATTATGTATACATCTTCCGTCTGAGTTCTGTTTGTTTTGTTGCTTCCTACTTCAGTTGATTATTATTAAGACCAAGTTCATCTCAACCCAGCCATCGTCTATTGTCGTCGGCCTTACATTAAAAAAAAAAAAAAAAAATCTAAATTTCGTGATTTAATTTTTATGGCCTTACACTCATAATCCAAAAGGTTTTCTATCAACCAAACAACTAGTTCAAGGTAATAAATAATTTAGAGAACTAATAAGATTATTTTGAGATGTGGTCTTGTGAATAATAAGATTATTTTGCATGTATTAATAACTTGTTATAAGATAAAAGGTATTTGGTTTTGTAATAAGATAGGCTTAGAACTAATATAATAGATATTAAAAAATTTTCCGGTTCAATTTGGCCAGATTGGACGGACTAACAAGACATCGAGAATTGGACCAGTCCAGACTTAATGGTCCAAAGTATTCATTGGATTGGACTGGATCTGGTCCATCTATAATGAATTTAGGGTACATTGGATTGGATTGAGCCAATATCTGGTCCATTAATAGAAGATAAGAATATAGGTGTCAATAGATCAGGTTTGGATTAGAATTAATCTAAATTAAAACAATTTTGAACAGATTGGACTGTCCAGACATTGAATTGGACCAATCCAAAATGATCCAAAATATTCATTGGATTGAATCGGACCTGGTCCATTTGTAATGGACTCCCATTAGACTGGACCGGATTAGACCAAATCCAGTCCAATTAACACCCCTATAGAGGCCCATGTGATGCCTCGTATGGCCTATGGGCCCATTTGACGTCAAATGATTTTCAATACATGTTTGGGTAAAGCATTTGTTTCTTTCCAGATTGGCCCAAGCCTAACGCTCAGCCAGATGCAAATGGAATTCATTTTCAAATTTATAACCCTAACTATAATTTATAAGTTATACTTAACATATTATAGTGTATTTATTTCTGTAGGTGCCATGTTTGTAATTTGTGTGCATTTTTTGGTCCGAGTAGGAAACTATTTAAATCAACCCATAACTACAGCCTTTGGGCTTGTGGTGCACATTTGGCAGGGCTTCGTGCAGCAGCTTCTGGCTTTGAAAGTTAAGCCCTACACTGAAAGCTTTGAAGCTATGTTTGGTGAAAACCCTGAAAATCTCAACTATATTTTCATTGAGCTTAGAAATTGAATTTTCACTGAAGCACATTTTTGAATCACTTTCCTTACCAATCTTTGATCAAGCAACAGATATGCTAAAGCTGTTACACATCTACTTACAGTTCAGAAAGCCCAATTGTTTTTCTCTCACCATTAATCAAATAATAGTTAGTCATTTAGTTTTTTTTGTAAGCAAAGAGATCCATTGCACAGAAAGAAAGCTAAGGATACAAAAGAAGACCCCTCATGTTAAGATAAGAGCTGTGTCCTGGGGAGCGGTCTAGGGGTTAGAATGTAAGATCTATTACATTGGCCCTTTTTGTTATATCATGGGCTGGGCTTACATTATTCCTATTTACATATATAATTTTAAGTTCCACAAAAAGAATAAAAGAGAAAGAATTTGATATGCTCGATCAGCGCCTGTTCATTCCACCTTATATTTACTCTGATTTCCTTGAGTTTTTGCAGAATCTCCTTGAATCATTTATTGGAGGTTTGGTGTAGGCAGCTAGCCATTGACTTGCAGCATCTTTCTTTCCTCATCCTCACCTCATACTTGCCACAACAATTTCTTTTTATAAACAATTATTTCTTTCAGTCCATGTTTCTGCATGAATACATTCTCTTGAGTCTTGATCCATCTTTTGGATATATCCCCTCTGTACCAATAAAAAGATATAAAAATGGGGAAGCAGATGAATGATCACATTCTTAGATTTTTAATATATTTAAATTAATAATATATGCATTTGAAGTACATGTACAGTAGAGTTGTTATGAAGTAATAAATTACTGTATTTAGACAATAAACTATGACCAGTGGGCCACCTACAATATGAGGCATGAGAGAAAGGTTTGTTTGTCCTCAACAAATCAGAAACCACATTTATTATAAACTTGCTGAGATGGCTTTTGGGTTTTCTATATAGGGATATCTTGGAAAATATTTTAGGTTTGTCTCCAACTCTCACAGACCATTTTGGTTTGGCATTCAAGGATTGTTCAGCTGTTCCCTAAAGCATACTCAATAGAATTATTTCTTTTTTATAAAATTAATTATCAATGGAGTGGTTGGTCCTGATAAGATAAAAGAATTAATGAAAGCAAGTCAGTCTTTACTGGTATATGTCATGTCAGATAGTACTGTCCTCACATAGAAATCCCTCAATGCCCCAATTTCCACTCTGCCATCACCAATGAAACCAATTTGTTCTCATCTTGTGTGTGTGCAACAGAGTTCACAATCACAATGATCCAAACCAACAAAGGGCGAAGGGGATTAGTTTTAGTTTCATGGGCTTCCAATGATGTGGTAATAGCTATTCTGCCACATGGGTTGCTGATATGAGTAGTTTTGGACTGGCTATTTAACAAGGGGCTTTACTTGGCTCTTACCATAGTCACATAAAAGTGTCTAACCACTTCTCGATTTATGTCTAAATTCTAAATCTTAAATCCTAAATTTTAAATTTCAATCCTCAAAACCTAAATTCTAAACCCATAAATCCTTTAAATCCTAACCTTAAGCCCTAAAATTAAGGTTTTGTTAGAATGACTGTCATATCAGCAAAAGCAATAGGGGTTTGTGCTAGGGTTATTCATGGGTTGGGTTGGGTTGGTTTATTGGCGTTTTTCCAACTGACCCGACTTGGTTGGTTTACCTAAAAATGAAACCGAAACTGACCCAGTACTAAGTAAAACCGACCTGGTCAGTTTGAATTGGTTTGGGTCGGTTTTGTGAATGATTCTCTCGGTGTGAATGGTAAAGGATTCAAGTCTAAGAAAGCAAAGGTTGGATGCTTGGAAATTAAAAATGATTTGATGGATTAAAACTGATATTTTATATATCAGAAATTTTATATATAATATGTATATTTCTGAAATAAAGCTGAAATAAATATATATATATATCCACAAATATATATTAAAATTGAAATATATCAGATATATATATATAATATATATCTAAGTTGGTTCGGGTTGGTTCAGTTTCAGTTTTCACACTTAAAAACCGAAACCGAACCGAACCATCAGTTTATGTTTTTTTGTAACCCGAAATTGACTGGTGTTGAAGAAAAACCAGCCAACTCGGGTTGGATCAGACCGGATTGGTCGGTTTGGGTCTTGTTATGAACAGCCCTAGTCTGTGCTTAAATGGAACCATGATCAACAAAACATCTAATAAGAGTATGAATCATCTAAGCAAAAAATATAATAATAATAATAATAATAATAATAATAATAATAATAATAATAATAATAATAATAATGATGATGATGATGATGATGATGATGATGATGATGATGATGATGATGATAACCGTACAGTATGAATG